CTACTACTACTACTACTACTACTAAACTACTACTACGACTACGACTACGACTACGACTACGACTACGACTACGACTACGACTACGACTACGACTACGACTGCTACTGCTACTGCTACTGCTACTGCTACTGCTACTGCTACTGCTACTACTACTACTACTACTACTACTACTACTACTACTACTACTACTACTCATGTTCCTTCCTCCCTCACTCAGTCCTCTCCTCGTCTGGCCTTGAAGGTCCGTAGCACGCGTGTTGAGCAGCTGCCTTGACGGGACATCAACCCCTCCCCCCTCGTCCATCCCTCCCGTGCGTCTTCCCTCGTCCCTCCCTCCCTCCCTCCTGCCCCTCCTTCGCCTCCTGACCCTTGTAATGACCCTCCTCCGCCGCTTCGGGGATGACGGACACGAACGACGCAGGACCAGGAAGGGAGAAGGACAAGGTTGGAGGGTGAAGGCGAACCAGAGTAGACTAAGGACACATCAACGATGCTGCAACGCATCCTCCTGTCTCCCGTCCCCTCCCGATAAAGCTCTGTAGATGTTTAGTTTCACTACGGAGGGAGCTGGATCGAACGATGGCCGCCCCGCTGAGCCTGCCGCTCAGGCGAAAGATGAAAGACTTCCCTCCATGTCTTGTGGCTGATCCGCCACCGTGCCGCTGGGCACGGAGTAGGCGCGTCCCCAGGCCCTGGGCCAGATCCCCGAAGCCTCCATCCCCACTCCTGAGGAGTCTTTGAGGAAGAGGAGGAGGAGGAGGAGGAGGAGGAGGAGGAGGAGGAGGAGGAGGAGGAGGAGAGGAGGAGGAGGAGGGGGAGGGGAGAGGAGGAGGAGGAGAGGAGGAGGGAGGAGGGGAGGGGGGGGAGGAGGAGGGGGGGGAGGAGGGAGGAGGAGGAGGAGGAGGAGGAGGAGGAGAGGGGCCCCAGCCCCTCGCTCGCAAATCTCCCCGGGCTCGGCGCATGCCCCCCTTTGGGGCCTGGCGCGTGCCCCCCTTTGGGGCGTCCCGCGCGCCGTTCTTGTGCTCTGCCAGGTGGCGGCGGGCCCCAAAAGACGGGCCAAGGAGGGCCCACTACCGGGTGACCTCGGGGGCGGAGGGAGGAGAAAGAGGAGGAGGAGGAGGAGGAGGAGGAGGAGGAGGAGGAGGAGGAGGAGGAGGAGGAGGAGGAGGGAGGAGGAGGAGGAGGAGGAGGAGGAGGAGGAGGAGGAGGAGGAGGAGGAGGGAGGAGGAGGAGGAGGAGGAGGAGTGGAGGGCCCCTGGCGGCCTGCAAGACGGCCCAGGAGGGCCTCGGGACGCCCAAAGAGCGGCCCAAGACGCCCAAGATGGCCTCAAGAGGGCCCATGAGGCCTCCAAGACGCCCCAAGAGGCCTCCAAGAGGCCTCCCGAGAAGGCCTCAAGAGGCAAAAGCCATTGATTTCCCTCAGGTGTTTGGACGATGCTGGCGTTCCCGCCTGTCAGGCTTTCCGACGCTCCACGACGGCCAAAGAGGCCCCCAAAACCACCCCAAAGCAGCCCAAGAGGCCTCCCAGAGGGCCCCAAGACGGCGGACGTAAGAGCGCCCTAAGACGACCTAAGAGGCGCCCCAAAAAAACCCAAGAGGTCCCCCAGACGGCCACCAAGAAGGCCCAAGAGAAGAGAGGGAACACAAACCGAAAATCCGAGCAGTCCGCCCCAAGAGGCTCCAAGAGGCCCCCAGGAGACCCCAAGAGGCCCCCAAGAGGCCCAAAAGATGCCCAAGGAGGCCCCCAATCGGCCCCCAAGAGGTCTCCGAACTGCCGCCAAGAGGCACCCGAGAGGCCTCCCACGAGATCCCAACGAACATCCAATAGACTTCATACCCACAACCCAGGCACGGTGGCGGGGCGGGATGGGCCGAAGGCCATTAATTTGGTAGAAAATGCCACGGTGCATACGCAACTGGATGAGCCCAAGGGAATGCTGAGCATGAGCCAGGTGTTGAAAAGGAGCCGCACACACTCCGTCCGGCTGCTGTATGAGTTCCATTGGTAGATCGGCATAGCCGAGGGTGTGCTAAACTAGAGCACCGCTTTGAAAAGGAGCCGCCCGTGCCTCTACAGCATCGAAACATACGAGGCACGCATCCATACGCGAGAGCCCCAGCTTGAAAAAGGAGCAACCTCCGGCCGTGTCAGGATGGACAACTTGGCGATCAAGTGTGTGCGGAGCTACGGCGAGAGCCACACTTCAAAAAGGCCTGCCCTCCATCCGTTTAAATGCTGCGAATGCGTCAGACGATCATTCGAGGCGCTACGGCGGGAGACACGTTAGGAAAACGGACCGTCCTCCATCCATGGCTGGAGACTCCTAGCAACATCATTCGCCAAGGAATCATCAAACGAAACGCCCGATCCTCCTTACCGACACGCATGATGAGGCGACGAGGAATTATGAAGAAGGTCGCCCCTGACGACGCCTGGAGCCGAAGACCTCCCGACCTGTGGGCTCTCAGGAAGAAGAAGGAGAAGAAGAAGAAGAAGAAGAAAAGAAGAAGAAGCAGACACTGACGATCCCAGCCGCTCCTTTCGGTCTGCATGCGGCGCAGCCGAGGTCTGCGGATGCAGGTCACAACGTGTGCGTATGATGAGAGCGCGCGGGTAGACGAGTGCCTGGAACCTACTGGCTCATGTAAAGTGTGCGGCACGGGTACCGGGAAGGCCCAAACTATACGCCGACACCGACCCTGGCCGGCCCCGTCCTGTGAACGACATCGGTGTACGGACACGCAGCCCGTCTGAAACGAGTCACGCCGCAGCTTATCGAAACATTGACCGCTGACCCCAGCGATGCGGCAGGTCAGGCCGCCGCATCTGGCTGAGCAGCCCCAGCGCCGAGCTACGCGCTGCCCCGCACGGCTACCCTCGGTAGCAAGCGCAGGAGAAAGGGAAGCAGTTGGCGACGCGCACACGGGGGTAGTGAGGAGGGGGGAAGGCTTCTCAGAAGGAGGATGCCTGTAAGAAGCCTTCCCCCCTCCCCCATACAGCCCTCTGCGCATGGCCGAAGAAAGAGGAGAGGAGGAGAGGGGGAGAGGGGGCTGGGCCAAGCCGGGCTGGGAAGGAGGAGGAGGAGGAGGAGGAGCAGGAGGAGGTACCAAAGGGAGGACGAGCGGCGGGAGTGGGAGGAGCAGGTGAGGTGGGGAGCAGGAGAGGTAGGAGCAGGAGGAGGAGGCCCCTCCTGCTCCTCCTG